CGCTCCCCCGCCACGGTCCCCCTCTCCCCCGTGGAGTGGGGCAACGGGGCCGAGAGCCCTGGGACCGCGTGGCCCCATCCGGCCAGGGAGAAAACAAAGACCTCGGGCTTCTCCGTCTCCCAGAGAGCTGCAGCTCAGGGGCCGTCCCAGCTGCAGCCGCTGCTGGTGGGGAAACAGCTGCAAGGGAGAAAGCTCTCTTGTTCCTCCGGAGCTGGAGAGACCAGGCGGGAGCGGGGTGGAGGGGGGAAATGGGATGGAGAAAAGGGACGGATGGAGAAAAGGGACGGATGGAGAAAAGGGACGGATGGAGAAAAGGGACGGATGGAGAAAAGGGACAGATGGAGAAAAGGGACGGATGGAGAAAAGGGACATGCGGTGGTGCAGGGGTGGAGGCAGCAAAGACACACGTGGAGGGGTTGAGGTAGGGAGAAGGAGTGAGGGGAGGTGGGTGTCAGGGCTGGGGAGAAAGGGGGTGCGCGGGAGGAGGGATGGAAGGAGGGAGGGGGGAGAGGCTGGAAGGAGGGAGGGATGGCAGGGCAGAGGGATGGAGAGGAGTGAGTGAAGATGGAGAGACAAGGGGGGGAAAGGCCAGAAGCGGGGAGGGATGGCGGGGCAGAGGGATGGAGAGGAGCGTGGGAAGATGGAGGGACGGGAGGAAGGGTGGAGGGATGGAGGGACGGAGGGAGGTGATGGAGAGGAGGAAGCGGCGGGTGGCCGGGGCCAGCCGGGACTCACGTAGAGGCGGCGGGCGGCTCGGCCGTAGAGGCGCAGGGCTCGGCGGAGCGGCACCCCGGGCGAGCTCTCGTCGTCGCCGGGCCGCAGCCGGGCATCGCCGCGGGCCGGGCCGTGGGGCAGCAGCCCCGGGAGGGGCAGGGTCGCCCCCGCCGCCAGCACCGCCGCCAGCACCGCCACCGCCACCCGCATCCCGCCGCCGCCGCGACCGCCCGGCCCCCCGCCCTCCTACCCCCCCCCCCCCCCCAAAAAAAACAACCAACCAAACAAAAAAAAAACAAACAAAACCCAAACACCACCGACGGCACCGGGAGGAGCCGCCGGGGAGAAGCGGAGCGGAGGGAACGGACCCGCCGGGACGGCCCCGACCCGCCGGAGGGAACCGGAGCCGGCGGGGCGGGACGGGGCGCGCCGCCGGAGCGGGGCGGGTCCAGCCCGCGGCCAAACCGCCATTGGATCCCCCGGTCCCGGCTCCGACCAATCGGGTTTTACCCCAAAATCCACCCTGGGCTGCAAACCCCCCCCCCCCCAACTCAAACTCCCTCCGCCTTCCCCCTCCCTCGGGCGGGAGCATCCCCCGGGGGGGCAGGGGCCTCGGGGATGCTGCGGCGGGGGGTGAAGGGGGAAAGGGGGGGGGGGGGGGGGGGAACACCCCTCGGTGTAGCAGCCGCTCCCCACAGGGCCCTGAACCGCCCCCCACCCCCACGCCCCCCGGAGCCGGGCCCGCAGCCAGCCGCGGCGTGGGCGAGAGGTCCTGGCCGCTCCCCACTCGCGCCCCCCCCCCCCCCGCCTCGAATCCCGCTCCCTTGAGGCGGGAAACGTGACTCCTTATCCACAGGGAACCGGGATGGGGATGGAGCCGGAGTGGGGGTGGGCGTTGAAAAACTGGAACAACCAACCGGGCCAAAATAATGTCGTGCGGCTCAACTGGCAAGCTGTCAGCGAGCGGAGCTGGCCGCCCCGTGGGCTCCCCCCACGCAGGCCCGATGGCCCGGGTGTGGGGTCACCGCTGTTTATCCTTTCTCAGACCCATCTGCCGTCACCTCCACCCAGAGAGGTCTGGAGGGGTCAATGCTTGGAGGATGGGGGAGCTGAGACGGGGTGTATGTGTGTGTGTGTGTGTGTGTGCGTTCCCTGGCTTTGATTTGGGGTGTTGGGGTGAAAGGACACCCCCCCCCAAATCCGGGCAGCTGGACTCACTGAGCGCTCCTGGAAATCCGGGCTGGAAGCAGCCAAAAGCTCTGCTCCGTCCTCCTGGAGCGCTTCCCGCTTCCCTGGCTGCGGGCCAGGGTTAGTAACGCATCTGTCCCAAACCGTATCCATGCCCAAGGAATGCCAGATAACGAGGAGAGAAGTGTCAAACCCCGTAAGCTGGCGAGAGAAATAAATCAGGGACGCATTCGTGGCATTCCCGGCAGGAATCCTGCAGCTGAAGCCTGTTGCGGTGACAGGGATTTGTCGCCGTGGTCCCCGTCCCTTCCATCCCCAGCAGCGTTCAAGCCGCTGCATCCCGGGCATCCTGGAAAGCAGCTCCCACTCGTGCTGAGCCCGGGGATGGTTTGGAAGCCCGGCTGTCCTGGCGAGCGTGATGACGGCGGGGGCCGCATCCGGACAGGCTGCACCCCCCCCCCCTGCCCCCCAGGGCTGCAGTCAGCTGCCCGGCTCCGGCCCTTGGAGGAACCCAGCCACGGAAAACCATTAGAGCTTTGAGCAGGGTTGAGACCAGCTGGACAAAATCCGCAGCCTTCGAGGAGTCCCCCGTGCCAAAAAAAGTGGCTTTTCTGTGAAGCTCAAATACCTCCAGGCCTCGCTGGGGAAATCGGGTACCGTGAGGGGCCGGCAGCCCCTCTGCCTGCTGAGACCCCGGCCAGGATGTCCCTCCCGAAGGGAACAGTGGCATTTGGTGACACCTAAGGAGGTGGCAATGGGCAGAGGGGGCAGGAAAAGGGGGAGGACAGCCTTGCTGCTCCGTGGGATGTTTCGGGGTCTATTGAAAATACGAACTAAGCTGTCCCTGGTGGGGTGGAAATGTGACAGTTATAAAATGTCTTGCTGCTGCAAGATCCAGGGGTGTGATTTGCAAGCTGCTGTGGCTGCTGTCCTGAGAGGTTTAATTAAGACACTTATCTTCTAATATATTTTTTAAGGGGTAAATTGACTTGGGTTTTCAAGGGAGGAGCTGCTAACCCCACAAGTTCCCCACGCCGGCTCCAGCCAGTGCTGCCCCGTGCCTGGGTGAAAGGGACCCCACGGGCCCTGGGGACCCTCTGCCACCTGGAAGGGGCAGCTGCCGGGCTTTTTGCACAGTCTTTAAGATGCTAAAAATTGCTTTTTACCACCCCCTCAGCAAAACTGGTGCCAGTCAGTTAAAAAAAATAGCAGCTGGGAAGAGCCGGAGTCGTGCCCCAGCCTCGGGAGCAGAGTGCTGCTGGCATGGACGTCCCTGCGGGTTTGGGAGCAGCTGGGAACCTCACTGGGAGTGAGGATGAGGATGAGGATGAGGATGAGGATGGGGATGGGAATGAGGATGAAGATAAGGACAGAGATGGGGACCAGGATGGGGATGAGGCATGAGGATGGGGATGGGAATGGGTGTAGGAAATGGGATGGGGACAAAGACAGGGACAGGGACGGGGGATGAGAATGGGAATGGTGACAAGGATGGGGATGGGAATGAGGATGAAGATGAAGATGGGGGCAAGGATGGGGACGGGGACAGGGATATGGGTGGGGATGGGGACGGGGACAGGCTATGCTCACCCATGCCATGTGCTGGGAAAGGAGGTGCTTGAAGGGACTAATCCCTGTAATTGCTTCCGTGTGACTCAGCAGAGCTTTTAGGTGGGGGGGGGGGGTTAGCCCTTCTCACATTTTTTTAACTCATTTTTTTTCTTTAAAAAAAAAAAAAAAAAAACAAAAAACAAAAACCAAACAATAGGCATTTACTTGGCAGCATTTTGTGCAGAAACAGAGGTGCTGAAGTTGGAGGAGGTGGAGGATGCACTGTGGGACGGGGCTGGGGAGGGATTTCAGCCAGATCCAGCAGCCCCCACCACCACGGACACTCACTAAACCAGGACAAACCGCCCAATAGCCGGCAAAACCCCCGCTGTGCTCCTGCCAGATGTGGCTACCAGGGTGGGCCGGCAACCTCCTGCCCTGCCGAAGGCTCGCCTTCACCCCGGGCTCCCAGTGAGGAGGAGGATGGGCAGGCGAATCCCTGTCACGGAGGCTCTTTCAGGCAGGAAATCCCGGCAGCCTCTTCCCCAAGGCCCCGGGATCACTGAGCTGCCTCGGCCGGTGGAGATAAGGGAAGCAGCAGGAAACGTACATCTCTCCCGGGGGGCGACCGGGAAAGGAAATTTGATTCCCAGTGATCAGAACGGGGCTGGGGACTGCAGAGGAGAGCTCGCAGGATGCACCGGGGCCGGCCGGTGCTTTGGGGTGTCAGGCAGGAGCAGGGGTGGTGTTTAGGGTCAGAGCGGGGTTTCAGCCGGCTCCGGCGTGGGCTCGGTCGGCAGCGACCCGTTGCCAGCCAGGTTAGTGGGTCACCATAATAATGCCCTCGGAGCGTTTCTCCTCCTGGCTGTCGGAAAGCAGTCCTGCTCAAGGTCGAGCTATTTGGCAGGAAGGGCAACAAATTAGTGTCTTAAATATCCTTCTGGTTCTGATAGGAAAGGGTTCTCGCAAGGGAGGGGTGGTGCGCATCCGACCCAGCGCTCACACGGTTTTTGGCCTCATATCCTAAGAAAAAGAGATGTCTATGGGGTTACTTCCCTGCCCCCCCACCCTTGATAACTGGAATCTGCTGGATAATTTCAGCCAGATCTGACAGTAGCATCTCTGAGGGTCTATAAAACCAGACAGAAGAAAGAGAGACCCTGCCAGCTTCCCCCTTGCCTGAGAAGGTGGGCACAGCCTTGGCTTTGAGCTCAACCCTCAGGAACCCTCTGAGAATCCACACCGGGTGCCCAGCTAGGGTGAGCCCAGCTTGCCAGCGGCACGAACAACCTCTGCGTTGTGTTGGGAGCAGAGGGGGAATCTCCGCGTGGCCACGGCCCTCCCGTGGGGTGGCTCTGCTTCCCCTCGGGCTATATCGAGGTACCTCATCGGGTGGCTCCATCCATGGGACCGTAGCTCCCTGCTGGGCTCACCACATTCCCCGTGGCTGTTTCCTTTCCCAGGAGCATCCCGCCTGGTGCTGACAGTGAGAAAGCCGTGGCAGTGGGGCAGATTCCCACCAGCGCCGCCCCCAACTCTTGACGTTTTCATTTTCGGGCATGGTTCTCATTTACTTGACTCTCACTTCTTCGAATCCACTTCGCCTCACGACTCACCACCTTCTCGCCCTGCCCCACCGCTCCCACGCGCAGGGACACCCTTCTCCGGTGGGTCTGGACCAGGAGGGACACCAGGACTTGCTCAGGTGCCTCCTCAAGGATGTAAGTGTTGCCCAGGTGGATCTGGAAACCACCAGCCCCGAGCAACAAGAGCACCCACCGGACACCCAGCGAGCCCAAAGCACCCACCAGCACCCAGGGTCTGTGGCCCGGCCACGGCAGCCCACAGGGCCTGGAGGGTGTCCACCCACGCTGCGGACGATTTCCACACGCAGGGTCCGTCCCGCCTGCTCCAGCTGGGACCCAGCACAGATCTTTCTGCTCAGGGCATCAAACGTTCTGGGAGAGAGGTTGTCCTTAAGGAGAGCTGGGAAGACGAGGTGTTAGATCGCAGGTGGGTCCATAATATGGGAAAACATGTCTTTTACAGAAAAAAAAAAAAAAAAAAAAAAAAAAAAAAAAAAGAAGGTTTCTTGGCCCTGGGTGACTCAACCGGAGCAGAAGTGCAGGAGAGCAGCTCGGTGAGTGGAGAGGTGAAATAACTAAGGCACTACTCTAAAAGGTGAGATAGCAAGTGCTGAGTCCTCCCAGCTGGAAAGGTAGCAGAGCTCAGATCACCCAGCACCTCGGGGAGCCGGAGACCCATGGGATGGAAACACTGCTCCTATGTGGAAAAACTTCCCGAGGCATCTGGAACCCCAGCCCAAAGGATCGCCCTAGGTTGTAGAATGTATTTTAAGACACAGAGGTAAAGAAAAGGTTGCTTTTTTTTTTTTAATCTCTGGGGTTCTCCTTTCCTTCCTCTCTCTAAATATTGTTGCAAAGCTGGTTTTGGTACCGCAGCTGCCGGATGAGCTGCCGGCGTGCCGGGAGCTCGCAGGGAGCCCGCGAACGTGCCTGACACTGACTGATTCCTGTGCACCGTTCCTCCAAGATTAGCCACAAGTTCCTTATTTGGTCCGGGCTCCAGCAAACTCCCTGGCAGATGAAATCCCAGCCCAGATTGGTTTGTACTGGAGCTGGGAGAATCCGCTGGGGCAGCAGGGAGGGATAAGGTAAAATCACAGCAAGGATAAAATCAGCCCATGCACTGTTTTTTCTGGAGGAGGGGGAGTCTTGTGTTTTTCCCCGCTGCACAAAACAGAGCAGGCACAGACTGCCTCTCCTCTTCACTCTCGGCAGCAGGTCTGGTCCTGCCCCATCCCCATCCCAGGGCTCCGGTCCCCGCCGCATGCTGGACTGTGCTGATGCAGCTTTGAGACACTTCCCTGGGTGTTTAGCAAGAGTTCTCTGCAGAATTAGGCTTTATTTGCTATATGGATTAGGTGCCCCCGCGATCTGCCCGGCTTCTCCCCAGCTGGGGGTGGGCAGGGAGTCCTGGGGGAGCTGGGACCCCATGCCTTGCCCTGGGAGCACTGTCAATGATGGGGTCCAGGCCCTGGTCACCCCTTGCTCTTCACCCAAACAGCCTTTCCCACAGCTCTAATAAATCCAAGGCTCTCCCCAAAACCTTTCTCTGGCTCATCTCTCCTTGCCTGACCTCCTCAGGCCTCCAGCCCTGACCCCGGGAGCACCCGAACGCTCCGGGGTGACTAATCCCAGCAATTAGCCTCGTTCCCTGCATTTATCGGCTTCCTGCCTTTGTCTGCCCCTGACAGCCTCTCCGAGCAAATATGCTTTTAGCCACATTTTCCTGGCTCCGGCTCTCCCACCAGCCTTTGTCCCATGGACCCTCTCCGAGCTGGGTGAAGAGGTTATTCTCCTCCGACACATGCCCCTTCCGTCTGCTCATCATTTTTGTGGTCATCAAACCGGTGACCAAAATAAAAGCACCCAGCAGCGCTGGGGTCACTCTGGCCCCCGGCAGCGGATGGGCCAGCTCTAACTGGAGGCGATAGGATTTGTTCTTTAAATTGAAGGCTGATGAAAACCCAGGGGCGGTTCATGCTAAAAGGGATTTTAGGGCTGAGCGATCTGGCTAAATGGGGACAGACTGCTCGGGCTAGTCTAAAATTCAATGGGAAATGGTGAAACACATGGGCAGCACATTTGAGAGCTGCCTTTTCCGCCCAGCCCGTTCCTCTGGACAGGCTGAGCATCCACAGGGGAGCTCTGCGGACCCCACGAGTTTCAGAGGGACAAAAGCTCTCACATGGAGGCTTGACCAGACACCCATTCCTAAAGAAACAAGTCAAGCTGCTTTAATATTTTTTTTTTTCTATTTTATTTTTTTTCCCCCTTCAGGATCCATCTAACCTTAAAGTGAGCTTCAAAACATTCCAGGATTTTTCCCTATGGAGGTATGGGGTGCTCTGCAGCAGATCTAACCCTGCCAAGGGCTGTCTCGTTTTGCTTGGGCTTTTGGGGTGCTATCTCCTTGACGAGGGTCCCTTTTCACCCAGGACGTGGGTCCCTTCCCCGCCAGGAACACCACCCCCTCCGCCAGCAGGTCCAACCCTGCCCACCCAAAAGCACCAGGCCCAGACCACCCCCCCACACCCCCCCCAGCCACACACATCGGGGTGCACAGACAGGCGCACACGTACAATCATCAGCCCTACACCCACCCCAACCCTGACATGCACACACCAGGAACCGAAAGCTCACACACACATGCACACACTGCAGGACACCTCCCACTCCCGCTCCTTCCTCCCCTTCCTTCCTTCCTCCCCTTCCTCCCCTTCTCCCCTCCCTCCCTCCCTCCCTCCCTCCCTTCCTCACTTCCCCCTTTCCTCCCTGCCATCCCTTCCCCCCCAGCCCCTCTCCCCCCATTCAGCCCACCCCGCCAGGGCCAATTCCCACCCTCTCTCACCCCCACAACCCCGGGGACACCCCCCAGCCCAGCTCCAGGACCCCCCTCCCATAACACCCCTCCAGCCCCCCTCCAGCGCTCCCCCCACTTCCCCCTCCCTTGCCCACGGAAGCATCTGGAGCAGACACCCCATGACTCGCTCCCGGCTGTGCTGGAAGCACCACTGACCCCAAACCACTTTCCTTGCTCGTTCCGGGCATCCCCGCCGTTGGACCAAACCCTGCCCCGGGCTTTCAGGGCTTGTGCAATTGGGGAAAAGCTGCTCCACCGGCCCCTCCTTGCCCAACACCTTCCCACCCCGGGGCTGCTTCCCTTCTCCCCCGTCTTTTCCTCCCTTTGGCAAACCTGGCAGGATCCGGCGATGCCAGCAGCTCCCCAAAACACGGCAGGAGGAGGAGGAGGAGGAGGAGGAGGAGGAGGAGGTGGCCGCAGCACCCGGACCCGCTGCCCGCCACCGCCCGCAGCTTTCAGCACATTTCCCGGCTGGCCAGGGCTATTTTCTCCTCCGGGGTGAGCAGCGCTGCAATAACACAGCTGGAAACGATCACCGGGGTTTCTCCCGCCTGGGTCACCCGATGACTCAGGGCAGGTCTGTGCTCCTGGCTCGGAGGGACCGTGAACCCAAGCAGCCCCCCAAAACCCCCCCCTCTCTCGGGGACACCGTCACGGTGAGGACAAGGGGGACACGGGGAGCTGCCCTGCCAGGTGCTGGGTGCTGCCGTTTTTTGCCTCCACCTGCCAATTTAAATCAGGGCGTTTGGGCACGTTTAAGATGCTCGGTGCATCTTCCCAGCAAAGAAAACCCACCGTCCTAGGAGGAAAAACACCGGGGGATCACCAGTTTGGGTGCTCCCCAAGCCCTGACCCCCCTGGGTGCGGTGTCTCCCCAACCTGTCATTGCAGCATTTGGGCCATGAGAGCACCCACCTGCCCACGCCGGTGAGCTCTGAATCCCCAAATCCCGCCGCCTGGAAAGGCTGAAAGCCCAGTGGGTTTTTAGTCTGGGGAAACCAGATCTGGGGAAGACGTGGGAACAGTCAGGAAAGGACAGAGGGGAGATGGAGGCGATGCTCTGCTCCTGTCCCCTGGGGGACCGAGGTCCCCGGGAATGGGAGCAGAGCTGGTACGGGGTGAGGAACCACCAACCAGCAACCATCCAGCGCTCCCAGGCAGGGAGGAGGTTGGATTTTCTCCGCAGAACCCTCCCAGCTTTGTTTGTTCAACATGCGACTATCCAGCAAGAGCTGCCAAAGCCGCCGTTCCCAGCCGGCCGCATCCCTCCGTCCCGCTCCCCAGCCCGGCGTCGCCTGCCAAAACCCTCCCCATCTAACAGGGTCTAAATTAGGTTATTCAGACACTGCTACAAACACTTCCAAAGTGAGTGCTGAACTGGAGGAAGGCGAGAAAATCGCTGTAACGGCTGCCCCGAGCCATGCTGCTGACAAAGAGCAGACGGACACGGCTTCTCCGGGCAGAAGCAGCTCTTTGGGAAAAGCCAGGCTTGGCAAGAACATGGCACAACGGTGGAGCAGGGACCCGCTCGCCGGCCCTCGCCACCACCCAGCTGGCAAGGAGAAACCATATGGGGTCAGCAAGAGTTTTGGGAAAAAAAAAAAAAAACAAAAACCCCCCAAATTCCTTGTGGATGCTTCAAGTTTTTCCAGCTCCTCATTTGCCTTCTGGGTTTTGTGGCGTGCTGGTTTTTCTTCCGCTTTGGGTTGTTTTTATTTGATTTCCCTCCACCCCCCCCCCCCCCCCCCCCCAGGAATGTGACCGGCGTGAAGAGGGTCATGGCGGAAGCATGACGAACAGGAGAGATTCGTCATAAGCGGTGATGAGACTTTCTCAAAATCGTTTCCCCCCCCGCCTCAAATAGCTGCAATTTATGCAAATGAACAAAAAGAAGAGCTAAACGGGGACTCAATACATCTGGCTGCCCACACTGGTTTCTCTCCCAGGAGAAATGAAGGAGGGAAATGAGTCTGTGGTTTCGCTCCCAGCTCCACACCTACCCCGGCCCCGAGCCTGGTTCAACGGTGTTGGGGGCTGGACCCCCTTCCACAGAGAAGGACGGTCACCGTGGCCGACTGTGCTCAGTGTCAGACCTTCCACCAGTGAGGGGAAGGAGCTGGGACTGGGCGAAAAGCATCCCCCTGCCCAGCTGCTCTGCCACCCCCAGCCACGGCCGCACTGGGTGGCTGCCTCCCGCACCTGCACCCAGCGCCTCAGAGGCACGGCCAGACGGGGAAATAGTCCCAAAAAAACCTTCTCCATCCCAGGCTTTCCCCATCACCCTGGTACTGAGCAGTGGGGGGGACGGGAACAGCAGTGTCCCTGAGTCCTTCGGGGTTTCCAGCCAGCTGGTGCGTCCCAGGGCAGCACTTGCTTCCTAAAAGGGCTGGATTTTGTCATGGTTCCTCCTCCTCTCCCCAAGCAACCCATTGCTGCTGAATTTGGCTTTCTGGCTTTCTCCGGCAGGCTGGTGTCTGTGGAAGGGCTTCCCGGTGGCGATGGGGAAGCCCAGCACTTTGGTTTCTTCTCCATCAGAGCGGACCGGCGGCGACGTGCCCTTCGCGGGAGCGTGAGGTGTCACCACTCGGCTGGCAGCACGTCCCCGGGACTCGCCGTGCCCGGGTGATGGGGAACAGCATCCCCTTAACGCCCTCAGAGCAGGAAGGAAAGCAAAGCCCAGGCGTTTTACTTGGTGAGGCAGCTCCCCGGGGTGGGATTTTCGGTTCCAGGTGGCAGGTTCCTGCTCTGAGCAAGAAGAAAAAGGAGTGAGGATGCTCTGCCCATGTGCAAGCCGCAGTGTGGGGCGAGGACCATCCTCCGCGGCGTTTTGCAGCGTTGCAACAGGGCTGGCACCGACTGCTCGGTGTCACTGTCTTCCCAGCCCCATGGGAGCTGATAAATCAGCTGTCTGGAGCTGCTGGGCTCTCCTTCCCAATCTTCATCCTGGGGAAAACCTGAGCTATCCCACCCCCTCTTCCCCCTGCTCCGTTCTGCCAGGATCGCCCCAAAAGGAGGATCCCAGGCCTGGAAAGTGGAGTACACTCACCGGGGCGCTGTCAAGACCCCCCCAGAACCCCTCCAGCTTGTCATCCACGAGGAGCTGACAACAGTCAGCAGGGTCAGGGTGCTGGGCCTGCCAAAAAAAAGCAGTGGGTGCGTTTTCGAGGTGCTGGCTGGGAGGATATCGCTCCGATTGCTTCCCTGGCCAGGCTGAATTTCTTCTCCCCCGGAGCCCCAAGCAGGAACCAGGCGCTGGGTTCGCGTTCAGCCCTAGCGAGGGCAGCACTTCAACGCCGCATGTGTTCAAGCGCCGAGCTGCAACGGGTTTTATTTTGTTTTCTCCCAGAGCTGGGGCTCTCACCGGCACAGAGCACCAGCCACAAACAGTCCCTGCCCTCTCCGCCGGAGAAGTCACCAGCTCCCTTCCTGCAGCATGAGAAATACAGCCCATCACTAAAACATGCCAGGGTTGATGTCTGGCCCCTTAGACCTCCTTTCCCACTCCTCCTGTCATCTTGATACTTTCCTGTGCTTTGTGTGCACTCATCTAGAGTAGCAAAAAGGGGCAATGAATGCAGGCAACCATGGTTTCATGCTTATTCATCATCACATGTATCCTGCATGCTGCGGTATGCGTTATGCAGTGGCGTTTCTGTGGCTTGCGAGGCCACTTCTTTTACTGGAAGAAGCTCTGGGGGCTTCTCCCAGAGTTGGTTTCTGGGATAGTAAAGCCCTGACACAGGCACGGAGGGGCTGGGAGCCCTGTGATGGGGGGGGGGGGGGGGGGGGGGGGGGGGGGGGGGGGGGGCTCAGCAGAGGTACCACCGCAGGCGAGATGGGGTGCAGGTAGGAGCGGTGCTGGGCCAGGTTGAAGGTTCAAGTGCAGCACATCTCCTGAGCCGTCCGGAGGCCCGGGCACCCCGAGGAGTGAGGGCATGCAGCACGCCGTTCCCCGAAGGAACACGAGGTGCTGGGTGAAATGCCCCTGGGGTGACCCTGTTCTCTGCCATCCCTACCCCAGTGCAGCAGCTGGGCTTGGCCTCAGCCCTTGACCCTGTAACCCCCCACTCAGGGCTCACCCCCAACCCCTTTACCTGTACCCCTCCCCCCCCCCCCCCCCCCCCGACTTAGCCCCAACTCCCTTTACCTGTAACTATCCCCAGGGCTCAGCCCTGGCCCCTTAATCGGGTACTCTTGTACCCTCCCCCAAAGGGCTCAGCTCCAGCTCCCTACCCTGGAACCCCCCCACCAGGGACACAACCATGCCTCCCTTATCCATACCCTGTCCTCTACCCCATCACCCACCCACCGAGGAACTCCGACGTGCCCCCCTTACCCCTAAACCCCTCAGGGACTCAGCCCCCCATCCTCCACCCTGTACGCCCTCCCCCCCCCCCCCCCCCGCCCCTCCTCCAAGACGCTCAGCCTTGCCCCCTTACCTGAAACCGCTCCAAGGGGCTCAGCTCCAGCTCCCTACCTCATAACCCCCCCCCCCCCCCGGGGACTCAGCTCTGAGCCCCTTACCTCTAAACCCCGAGGGGCTCAGCTGTGTCCCCCTTACCCCCACCCCCCAGGGACTCTGTCCCCGCCCTCAACCCCATAACCCAGGGTCCCACCCCCCGCCTCCCGGGACGCAGCCCCGCTCTCCTTCCCATCCCTCCTCCCGCGGGGGGGGGGTGGTGGGGTGTCACCCCCACCCACCCCCCCGCAGCCGTAGGTCTCCCGGGGGACCGACACGTCCCCCCCCCCCTCCACCCCGCAGACACCCTCCGACGGTTCGGGGAGGGCCGGGCGGCGGGAAGGGGCGGCCCCGGGGGCTGTGCCCCGCCGTACCGCACCGCCTCTCCCTCCCTCTCTCCTCCTCCTCCTCCTCCTCCTCCTCCTCCTCCTTCCCCCCCCTCTTCCCCCCCCCCCCCCCCCCCCCCCCCTCCGCGCCGGCCGGGGCCACCCGCCCCGCCGGGCCAGTCGCCGCCGGCAGCCGCGGCGCAGCCCGCTGCGGTTCGGGACATCCCATCCCGGTTGGGTCCATCCCGATCCGGGATAGCCCGATGGAGACGGAAGGTTACCGGTGCCGTAACAGCCGGTACATCGAGAGCGGGCAGTCGGCGGTGCCCGGCTCGGTGTTATTCGCCGCCGGGCTCTTGGGCAACGTGTTGGCGTTACTGCTGTTGGGTCAGCACCGACGGCGATCCCGGGCCACCGGTGGTCGCCCGCCTCGGGTTTCTGCTTTCTACGTGCTGGTGAGCGGGCTGGCAGTCACGGATCTGCTGGGCAAGTGCCTTCTGAGCCCCATCGTCCTGGCCGCTTACGCCTACAACCGCAGCCTCAGCGAACTGGGACCGGGCGGGCGTACCGAGGGCGAGCCGGGGGTCCTGTGCCAGCTCTTCGCCTTCCTCATGGCCTTCTTCGGGCTAGCCCCCACCCTGCTGCTGCTAGCCATGGCGCTGGAGTGTTGGCTCTCGCTGGGGCATCCCTACTTCTACCGACGGCATCTCACCCGGCGGCTGGGGGCTACGTTGGGGCCGGCGGCGGCGGGGCTCTGCGCCCTTTTTTGCGCCCTGCCGCTGCTGGGTTTCGGGGTGCCCATGCAGTATTGCCCGGGGACGTGGTGTTTCATCCGCATGGCCGGTGGCGGGCCTCGTCAGCTCGGTTTCCCCGTCCTCTACGCCAGCTTGATGGGCCTGCTGGTGTTGGCCATCGGCGCCTGCAACGTGAGCAGCATGCGGCACCTCTACGACATGGCTCGGCGGCAGCCCCGCCGCGGGACCCCCCCCGCCGCCGCCCCGCGCATGGAGGAACTCGACCACCTCATCCTGCTGGGGCTCATGACCGTCCTCTTCACCATCTGCTCCCTCCCGCTCATCGTGAGTAATCCCGCTGGCCCCCTCCCTCGGAACAGCACCCCCCCCATACCACCCGGGGTGCTCGGGTGGTTGCTTTGCCCCCCCCCGCCCCCCCCCCCCCCCCTCAGATACCCACCACCCCATCCCCGGGGCTCCGTCCTTGCATTAAACCCCCTGGAATATAACGCCCCCCCCCCCCCCCCCCCGTCCCTGCCACCTCCTCCCAAGGAGGCTGGATTGCTGCTTTGGCCTCGGAATAGTCCCTCACCCTGTCCACGGGGGGTTGGGTCATCACCTAAAACCCCTTGGAATAACCCCCCCCCCATCAGTTTTGGGCGGGGGGGGGTGTGGGGAGGTGGGCAGGTTCTTTTGGAATAAACCCTGGCACCACCACCTGCTCCTGGGGGCATTACACTGCTCCCCTTCTGAATATTCCCCCAAGCCTGTCCGCAGGGGTCATTGCCTAAACCCCCTTGGCATACCCCCCCCCCCCATCACCACCACTCAGTCCCGGGGGGGGGGGCAATTAATTTCTTTGGCTCCTTGGAATAAACTCTGGCACCACTGCCCACTCCCGCAGTTGTTGGGGCAGGGGGGGGGCTCATTGCTTTAGTCCCTTTGTCCTCAAGGGTCAGGTTATTGCTTTAAACCCCTTAGAATAAACCTCCCTCCCCATTCTGGGGGTTGCCCCCTCCCCTTTAAATACCCACCACCAGCACCATGTCCCCAGGAGTTAATTTATTGCTCTAACCCCCCTTGGAATAACCCTTCATCACCACCACTCTGTGCCAGAGGTGTTGGGTAATTACTTTGGGCCCCCCCCGAGTGTCCCCCACCCTGTCCCAAGGGTCTGGTTGTTGCTTTAAACCCCATGAAATAAACCCCAGCACCACCACCCCGTACCAGGGGGGGGGATGTTAATTCATTGCTTTAATCCTGCTGGAATAACCACACCACCCTGACCCTGTCCTGGGGGGTTGGTTCATTGCTTAAACCTCCTTGGAATACCCATGTCCGTGCCCCCCCCTACTCATCACCACCACCCTGTCCTGGGGAGGGTCAGGTCATTGTGTTGCCCCCCGCCCCCCGGACAGAATACCCACCACCAGCACCATGTTCCCAGAGATTAGTTCATTGCTTTAACCCCCATGGAATAACCCCCCCATCACCCCCACTCTGTCCCAGAGGTGACAGGGGGGGTTGAGTAATTGCTTTGGCCCCCTCTCAGTGTCCTCCACCCCATCCCAGGGGTCCGGTTGATGCTTTAATCCCGTTGGAATACCCCCCCACATCCCCCCGCCCCGTCGCCACCACCCCATTCCTCTAGGGTTGCCTCAGAGGTGTTGAAAAGGTGTTGGGGGGGGTCAGTTCATTGCTTTAGCTGCTTGAAATTACTCTCCCCCCCCCCCCGTGTTTATTCCTAGGGAGGTTGGTTCATAGGGTTAGACCCTTCAATAACTGCCCCCATTCCCCCCCCAAATCCTGGAGGTACCAAGTAGATCTAGACCCCTTTGAACCACCCTGGATTTTCCGAACTGGGGGAAATACTCCCTGAAATCCTCCTCCTTCTTCCCCAGCGATGGGGGGTCCCGCTGGTAGGGGTGGGGGTGGGAGACCCCCAGCATGACAGAGCCCTTGGTGTGTGTGTGTGTGTGTGTGTTCCCCCCCCCCGCCCCGCAGTGGCCCCAATGTCCTGCAGCACAGTAAGCAGAGCTGGTGGGGCAGCCGGGGCTATCCCAAAATCAGGGTGGGGGGCGTGCAGGTGCTGCCACCACCCTAAATGACAACTTCCACCTCCTTGTCCCCTCTGTCACACTCTGGAGCCGTATCGTGACACGCCGGCCAACAGCAACCCCGGCACGACTGGGCTCATACTGGTTTTGTAATAACCCCAGCAAAAACTCTGTGGTTCTCAAACAAAGAGGGCTTCAGGCTGGACCTGGAGGTGGAGGAAGGACCTTGACCCACCAAGGGCTGCGCTCCAGCCAAATTATCCATCGGGTGCCTGGTCCCATACCCATCGCAGGGCAGGGGGGGCAAGACAAGTGGGGTGCCCCAGCCTCAGGGGAAAGAGCAGCACCCACTGCTGCAGCCTGAGGAGGTTGGATGCTCCTTTACTCCACGAAACAGCCCCGGTCACCGGGGCCACCTCTTCAGCTCTGACCTCCCGGCCCTGATGGGGACACGGTGCCCCCACGCCACGACCATCCGTGACCCAGCCCAAACTCCCAGCTTCGGGGTCTTCAACCCATAAAACATGCTGATTCAATGCAGCAGGACACTGAGGGGTTAAAACTTCTTTTGCTGCCCCCACGGGCATTTTCGGCTCCCTGTAGTGGGGTCTTTCTTCATTTTTCCTTATTTCTTTGGGGTTTTTTGACAGATCCGGGCATACATGGGGGCCTTTGCCACGGACTTCAACGAGAACGCTGACCTCAGCGCCTTGCGGTTTCTCTCCGTCAACTCCATCGTGGACCCCTGGGTCTTCATCATCTTCCGCACCTCCGTCTTCCGCATGTTCGTCCGCAGGGTTTGCAGGAGGCTGAATTCCCGCAAACCCAGCCTGAAAGGGCCCGGCCCGGAGGGGGACGGCCAGTTCTGTCCCCTGGGCTGGCGCAGGACAGACACCCCGCAGCTCGGCTTCCCCTGAGCTCGCCGCTCTTGCAGAAACCGGCGGCTGCTGGTGAGGATGAGGAGCGAGCCTTCGGCCCTGCGCTCCCCCCCCCCCCCCCCCCCCCCCAACCTCGGAGCATCCCGGGGCAGGACGGGGCTGTCGCAGGCGGGGACGGCGTCCGGCTCGCAGCGAGGGGTGGGTGTGAAAGCGTTTCTGCCCCCTCCCTGGGCTGCGTTTCACCTCAGAGAGGAACCGAAGGGGGGGATCCCGGGTACCTGTGAATATTTCCGAGCAGCAGCACTTTGTGGAGGGTTTGGGGAGCGCCCGGCTCCAGGAAAGCAGGAGGGTTCTGGCGTGTGGCTTCAGGGCAGCGGGGACAGACAGGGAGGAAGGGCGGGGGGGGGGGGGTGTGTGCGTCCCCATCAAATAAAAGTGGTTCAGAGCCCTGCTCCATCGCCTTGTCCTGTGCGTGAGCCCCTTCCGCACCAAGAGGGGATATCCGAGGGGGTTTGGGGTGTCCCCGGCCTGAGTGAGGTGGATGTGAGGGAGCCTTTGGGGATGTGGAGACTCAGAAACTTGAGCAGCAGCTCATGGCTGCGCTGAGGAGCTGGAGGGCAAGGAGGGGGTCCCTCCCTGGGACACCCATCGTCCCTCCTCGGGATGCCCATCGTCCCTCCCTTAACCCCATATCCCCTGAGTGGGGCTGTGGTTTCTCCGCCGTGGCTTGCTCTTCACTCGAAAATTGATTCCTCCAAGCGCTAATGTTACATTTGTGTTACTCAGATGGCTACCTGTCCTGCTGTAATTATTTTAATTCAGTATTTATGATGGTCCTGAGCTCTAATAAGAGCAATAATTGAGAGAAAGCAGAGCCTGGGTTGTATAACCTCACGGCACAAACATGCAAGCGAACGATCATTTTAATGAAAGACCCATTTCCCCTCAACCACACGTATTAACTGGATTTAATATCTGCCTCAAGTGACCGTTTAGGCCAAAAAAAATATGATAACCAAAGTCCCATCTGCTTAGTGTCCATGGAGGAGACAGGGTAAATGCTTTTCTCCCTCTGTTTAGCTAAGCCTTGCAAGGTGTAGTTGTGTTCCTGCCAGTTCTCACGCAATATTTACCCTTGATGTCAAATGGAGTCTGTTTTGAAGGAAGAAACTCATGCAAATCTATCCTGGGGCTTTTTGGAGGGGATCTGGTTGGGTTGGCTCTGACTGTTTGGCCAGCCAGGCTTTCCTGGCTGGAGAAAAGGGATGTACTGGGGGGATCTGTGAGCTCCCTGCTTGGTGCCTCTTATCGTGGTTTTCTAAGGCGAAAGAAATGAAATGAGGGTTGGTCCACGTACCGGTTTCATGTTACTGGCGTGTTATTGACTTGGAGATGGCTCACGTGGGACTGCAGAGCCAACAGCCCCGAGTCTGCGTCGTGCCTTTCACTGGGCCTGTTTCGCCGTGGTGGGATGAAGGCCAGGTGAGATAATGGCTCTGCAAAATCTTGCTGTTGTCCCCCCTCCCTGGCTGGGGTCTCCTCCACCATACGGATCCACGCACCGCTCGGGACAGACGGACGGGGCACGGCCAGGCTGGGAGCGGGCAGCAACGTGAGCTGTGGGTGCTCGGTGTGTGCCCAGGATGGGACAGGCCATCATCTGCCCATGACCCCAGTGAGAATTCCCTTCTGAAGAGCCTCCCAGGAGAGGTCCCTGCCCCAGCATATGTGTATTCAGAGCCCAGGGCAACCACGTTCCTTGGAAAGCAGCAATTAAATTAAAAAAACCGCACAGTTTATTTATTAAGGTGCATGAATACAGACTCCGTCCGAGCCCTGAGATGATGCACACACCACGGTGCCTGACCCATCTGCGAGTTTATCATCAGAGGAAAGAAATCATGGAGTCACCGAGCACAGCGAGGGCTTCCAGGCTGCGGGGGTGACCCCCCCTGTCCCCGCATCGTCCCCCGTTCCCCGGCTGAGCCCGTGCACACCCCAGCAACCTACACACGCTCATCTGGTTTTGGTAGAGCTTTTAATTGGGGTTCTGCCCTTGCTGGTGTCCTATCTGCTCTGGGAGCAGACCTGGAGTCTCCAGCCGGCCACCGCTGCCTCCGGGCGAGCCAAGCTCCGGCTCCGGCCAACAAGGTTTGCGCTCGCGGCTGAAGGCCCAGCTGCCCTCCGAGAGGATAAATCACTCCTCGGAGTGTTTCTGGGGCCTGGGACTGCCATATCGTGGTCCTCTCCAGAGATGGCAGCACGTCCCCAGCCAGGGCTGGGATCCGAGCTGGCCGGAGTACGCTGGGCACAGCCGCTGCACGGAGTGGGTTGCCACTCTCCATCCTAAACTACTCCTCTGGGCAACCCGCTTTTTGGTGCCCAAACACATACGGTTTGGGGCTTCAGGAGTTACATCAGAGCTCAGAGCCCCTTCCTATTCCTGCGCTTGGCAAAAAAATCAAATAAATTTAAAACTGCAATAAAAAACATCCCTGCAACGCGCCGTTTAGTTCTAAGTGTTGCTAAACAGGAACTGAAAAAGCCCAGAGGCTCAGGGCCCTCCGGCCAAATGCTGAAATGGTGAGAGCTGCTGTGTGAACCCTCCCCGATCGCATCCTCCTCCCAGGCTCCTCGCACTGCTCAGTCACTCCCCACGGGCTCCATCTGTGCCAGATTGCTCCTCTGCCAGCGATCCTCAAAGGGATGGACCTAATGCTTAATGGAGGCAATAAGGAGACACTGCCAGGCTCAAGACTGTGGCTCACACCGATGATGCTCTTTTTGGAGCAGTTGTACCATGCCAGCTGCCCTCCGACACCTCCACCCGCCCTGTCCCACACTCACGGTGTCACTGGTGTCACAGGCATCACCTAACCCTACATCCCTCTCCTTTCCCAGACATAAACAGAGCATAGTCAGGATTATTTCTTTTTTTTTTTTTTTAAGCTCATAAAATCCAGGCACAACTTCACACGAGCTCATTTCCCAGCAAATCGTTTAGTTCTTGCAAAGATCCCTTTTTTTTTTTTTTTTTTTTTTTATATTGTCTGCCTGCATTTTTCATCCATTCTGGAAGCAGGAAGGCACGTGCCTGGGCAGGCAGCAGCGCCAGGGCTGCCAGGCACCCAAGACAGGGTGCTCAGCCTGCGGGGCTGTATGACACAACCAGTCAGTGAGAGGTTTGATTTTTGATTTTTTTTTTTTTTTTTTTTAACCCATGCACCCAGGTGCTTGCACAGGATGGCAAGCCAAGGCACCAAAACCTGGCCCTGCCGCGCCGGTGCTCAGCTCTGCTTTTCCAGGGTGGTGAGTGAGGCTGCTGGCAGCACCGGTGCATGAGGTAAGAGATGGGGCTGGCTAGGCTTTGGAAGAAAAACGACATCTGGCTTTGCAAAACACAGGTCAGATGGGTTTTTGGTTTAAAAGAGTCTCCTCCCTGCCTGCGGTGCCAAAGCTGCCCTTGAAAACCCACCAGCGATGGAGCAGGATCCTTGCACCCTCCCCAACCATAGGCAGCAAACACCAGAGGTTGAGTCCTCTCAGCTGCAGGGTTTTTATGAAATTCATCCAATTTTCCTATAAGCCCAGAGCTTTTTCCCCAAGTGGGCCAACTCTGGAAATCTTCTCTTAGGGAAAACAATGCCAATGACCCTTGGGAGGACATGTGGTCCTCGTTAGAGGCAAGACACCCGAGATAAACATGGAAGCAAAAGGAAGAAAGCAAACACTTCCAAAGAAAGGGACAAATTGTACCAAGTGGCATGTTCCTGTTTTTGAGCTCAGAAGGGGGAGAAGAAAAAAAAAAAAAAAAAAAGCCCAGCAATTTTCCCATTATTGTAAAAATATCCCATCAGATGCAACTGTTGGTGGAGAAGACTGAAGCCCCAAATGGGTATTTACGGTTCCATTAGCTGCCAGGAAAATGAGCTCCAGAAGATGCCAAAACCCCTTCCTGAGCTGTGACACGCAACGCCAGAAAGGAGTGGGAGGCTGGGAAAAGCCTTGGAGCAACCACCCGACGGGGTGCCTTCTGCTCGGAAAAGGTCTCCAGACGAGCAGGCTGCAGCCTCCGTAAGCTGCTCGGATGGACCAGGCTGGGATTCGGACTCAGCTCCATTTTTTAACCTGAATTTTGTGAACACCACAGAGGGCTGAACGTGCCAAAGTCCCATCCAGCCCTCGGAAAGCCAACAGGATGGGTCCCACCATCGGATGTGTCCACACGCTTGGGTGCTCTGCTGGATTGGGTCTGCAGGGCTGGGGGGGGGGGAGGTTAAAATCGGTCCTGGGACGTGCGTTTTCCTGACCCACCTGCGTGGAGGTTTACTCTGGGAGTCGGCTAAAAGCTCTTCCCTGTCATCCCACCCATTTCTTGGGCCATGGGAGCGGCTGTGGGTGCCCTGCCACCGGCAAGGTGACAACACATCCTCCCCAACGCGCTGAAGAAGCTTTCGAGCTGTGAAATGGAAGAAACCAAAACGAGGAATAGGAGCGGGCCGTCAGAAATGGAGGTGCTGTCACAAACCGCAGCTCGCCCGGCTCTGGAGTTTGCCGTATACCATATTTCCTTTACGAAGTTCCTGTTGCAAAAGCAAGGTTTTAAAAACAACAGCCAAAATAGTGGCGGCGACCTGCCGTGTCTGTGCTGGAGCTGATCGGTGCTGCATCGTTTCACCAGGGTTTGGGGGGACCGGGGCACTTTGCGAGGACAGTTTTGCATTAGGTCATGGATGAAGGAGTGCACTTGAGCCCTGCCTGGCCCCCCCGCTGAACCAGAGCCCAGCTTGGAGGCCAAGAGCAAAAGGTTTGCTCTCAGCAAGGTGGTGAGAGGATGGGGGTCATGGCTGGGGAAATACTACGCAAGAATGAGAACTTCCTGAGCCAGCTGAGGAGCCCGGAGCCCTGGCAGAAGGAGCTTTCCTGGAGCTGGTATTTGAGGCAGATAAGCCGAGCTCAGCCAGGCTTGCAGGGGGAAGAGGGGTTCCCTCTGATGTGTGTGCCCCCCCCCCCCCCATGACTAGACACCAGCTGCAAGGCTGCACTCCCGTGGGGACCTCTGATGACATGTGTAACAGGGGGGTGGTGGGGGCATGATGTGGGGCTGGCTGTGGGGCAGGGTGTTCCTGGGGGGCTCTGGGTGCCTCTGGGGCTGTGGGGAACCCACCTGCACAGCCCGGGCTCAGCTGGGGCTCCCCAGTAGCCTGCCCTGCACCAAGCCAGCGGAGATGGGACCGAGGCTCATCGTTGGGGTCCAGCACTGGGGCTCGTTGCTGTCCCGGGGCTCCCAGACTGACACGGGGCTGGCCATGCCACTGGGCTTTCAAATCAGCAGTGGCGTTAGCCCAGTGTCGGGGTTCCTGTAGCAGCCCCGGGGCTCTCAGCCCTACACCAGGTCTTGCTGCGAGCCCGGGGCTCCCAACCCGTAACTGGGGCTAGCCCAGCGTTCCCAGAGCAGCAGCGGGGCTCCCGAATCACCATGGGGACTGGCCGCCAGCAGAGCTACTGGCCCGGGACCGAGACTCTCGGGATGGGAACTGGCTGTGCCCTCGGGGCTCCCGGAACCTCACCGGGACTCCCGGCCCGGTACCGGGGCTCCTAGACCGACACCAGGGCTCCTGGATCGGCACCGGGGCTGGCCATGTGAGGGGCTCCCAGCCCGGTACCGACACTGGCCATGCCTTGGGGCTCCCGGAGCACTCCCGGGGCTCCCAGCCCGGTACCGGGGGTCCTGGACTGGCACCGGGGCTGGCCATGTGAGGGGCTCCTGGAGCACTGCCGGGGTTCCTGGAACCGTACCGGGGCTCCTGGACCGGCACCGGGGCTCCTGGACTGGAACCGGGGCTCCTGGACCGGCGCCGGGGCACCTGGACCAGCGTCGGGGCTGACCATGTGAGGGGCTCCCGGAGCACTGCCGGGGTTCCTGGAACCGTACCGGGGCTCCTGGACCGGCACCGGGGCTCCTGGACCGGCACCGGGGCTCCTGGACTGGCACCGGGACTTCTGGACCGGCACCGGGGCTCCTGGACTGGCACCGCGGCTCCTGGACCGGCACCGGGGCTGGCCATGTGCGGGGCTCCCGGAACACTCCCGGGGCTCCCAGCCCGGTACCGGGACTCCTGGTAACCTGCCCCGCCCGCACCACGCCGGCGGAGACGGCACCGGGGCTCATCGCTGGGTTCCTCGACCCATCCCCGGGGCTCGCTGCCCTCCCGGGGCTCTCGAACCGGGCAGGGAGCTGGGCTGTATGAGGGGCTCCCGGCCCGGCACCGGGGCTAGCGCGCCGGTACCGGGAGCCATCCGTGGCGGAGCGGGCTTGGGGCGGGGGGGGTATAGGGGAACGGCCCGGGGAGGGGGGGGGGGGGAGCCGGGGCACGGCTCAGGGCGGGCTTGGGGGCGGCGGGCGGGGCGGGGGGGGGGGGGGGGGGGGGGGGCGGTACCGGCGGGGCGGGCGGCAGCGGCGGCGCAGTCGGGAGGCGGCGGCGGGATGAACGGGACGGGCCCGGGGCTGTGCGAGAGCGGCGGAGCGCTGCCGGCCGGGGCTCGCCCCCTGGTCAGCGCCCTCATGTTTTCCGCCGGGCTTTTGGGCAACCTCCTGGCTTTGGGGCTCCTCCTGAGCTGCCGCCGCGCTCCCCGCCACCGCCCGCCTTCCCTCTTCCACGTCCTGGTGTTGGCCTTGGTGGTCACCGACCTGTTGGGCACCTGCTCCGTTAGCCCCGTCGTCCTGGCCTCCTATCACCGCAACCGCACCCTGACCGCCCTGGCTCAAGGAGGACACATCTGCCTCTACTTCGGCTTCGCCATGAGCTTCTTCGGCCTCGCCACCATGCTCATCCTCTTCGCCATGGCGCTGGAGCGGTGCCTGGCCCTGGGGCGGCCTTATTTCTACGAGCGTTTTCTCAGCCCCCGCACGGGCTTGGTTGCCCTGCCCGCCATCTACACCTTCTCCGCGGCCTTCTGCTCCTTGCCGCTGGTGGGCTTCGGGCAGTACGTGCAGTATTGCCCCGGCACCTGGTGCTTCATCCAGATGCACCTGGATGACCTCCAGGACAACGGCGGCAGGGAGGCGTCCGGGTTGGACGTCACCTTCTCCCTTCTCTACGCCACCCTCCTCCTCTTCCTCATCCTCTCCGTGCTGCTCTGCAACCTCAGTGTCATTGCCAACCTCGCCCGCATGCACCGCCGCGGGCAGAGGACCCGCCGACTGGCCACGCTCGAGCAGCCCCGGGCGGCCGGCGGCTGCGGCCGGCGCATGTTCTCCATGGCCGAGGAGATCGACCATCTCCTTCTCCTCTCCATCATGACCATCACCTTCGTCATCTGCTCCCTGCCGTTCACGGTGAGTGCGACTGCCTCTCCCCTGGGGTGGGGTCCCTCTCCCCAGCAGCCCTGCTTCTCTCCCTCTCTTTATAAGGCTCCTCGCCACTTTACTGCCCAAACCTCAAGGGCTGAAGTCAAAGCTTAGCTCCTCCTGGAGCCTGGGAGACCCCAGTTCTGCCCCAAATTTGCACGTCCCTTGGGGAACTGGGAATATCAGTCCCCATATCCCCAGTGCTAGGAGGAGGATGGGGTGACAGGACGACAGGGTGGCAGGAGAATGGGATGGCAGGAGGATGGTGTGACAGGAGAAGAGGTTCCCTCCCATCCCACAGATGTTCTGAGGCCAGAGAGTGTGGCTCGGGTAGGCTCCGGGGTAGGGGTCCCCTGGACCACAGGGCATCACTGTGGTTCCCGGGAACCAGGCACTCGTGGTGGAGGTGTGAGGGGTGGCAGAAGAATAAATTAGACATCCGAGGATGAGGATGAAGGGGATGCCGCTGAGCTGGAGACAGTGGGTATCTGTGCTGGGCAGGCAGAGATATCCCAGATTATCCCAGGCAAGAGGGAATGATGAAGCTGGAGATGCGGGCAGGCAGCACCGACCTCACGGAGGCTGAGATGGGCGATTGCTGGGAACGGAGATCCTGCACATGGGCCACAGCATCCCTCATCCCAAGGGTCATGTCCTCTGCCCGTGCCCCATCCGTGCGCGAGGCTCCCAGCAGAAACACAGGGTCAAAACACTGCAGCCAAGTGAGGAAGGGGAGAGGCTGGCTCTCCCCACAAAAGGGCTGTTTTTCATCTATCTGAGCCATATCACACCAACAGCATCGTGGACCCCGGAGCACCTCGAGCCACTTGTGTCCTCTGCCCATGTGTGCGAGCCTGCCGCTGTGGAAGGTCATTTTGTTCCCATTAGAAGCAAGCCCCACCAAGGTTGGGAGTGTAGCCAGTGCTAATTTTGTGTTCACGGAGTTAAATAGATGCTACCTTCCCTTCGTGCTCTCTTTCTTTTCCCAAGAGGAAAGAAAATAACCACAGACTGTAGCTGAGCCAGGCTGCCTGGGTTTTACGACAGAGAAAAGACAAAGCAGTAATGTCCGGACACTCGTGAGCATCCTGGGAGCCAGACTCAACATCCTGAGAGACGCTTCAGGTCCCGTCAATGGGCCCACACAGGATGAGTGGCCCTTCTCATGTCCCAAAAAAGCTCGGGTTTGGGTGCTGTGGTCGTTACGAAGCGAGACCCTTTGGTGGGGACACGTGGGCAGGGCCCTGTGGATCTCCTTGGGGCAGACAGGATGGGGAGGTGCCGCTGGTGGGCATCCCGTGGGCCCTGTGGTAGCAGATATAGTCTTATCCAGAAGCACAGCCAGCTCTGCTTTTCCCATCGCTCGGCTCCCATGTGGGGTTGCTTTTAAGCTGCGTTTTGGCAGCGTCTCAAACCGAGCTGCCGAACGCTGCCGGTGCCTCCTTGGTGTGACACTTTCTCTTCTGGCTGGGGCTGCTCACAACAGCCACTCTCTGAGGAGCAGCCCAGGCACATGCACCCAGCGAGCATCACACCACAGCACCACAAAATCCTTCCCCAAAAAGCCCCGAGTCCCCTTGGAAGTACCCCGGGTACCGGCTGCACCGTGGCCTCCTCGTGCCCCGGGACGCACCATCCCTGGGTGGTATCCAACAGACCCCGACCGGAGGAGGGATGCTCTTGCCTCCCGTGCCCCCAGCTCCCATCCCCTTTCAAACATCCCCTCTCCCCCAAAACAAGGGGGTGGCGATTCGACTCCTATGAGTAAGGAGTGCTGAGTCACCCTTCCAGGAAGCCCCGTAAGCTGCTATGAGTCAGCACATTGCAGGAAGGACTGGAGCGGTCCAGCGCCCCTCATGCTATCCATCTTACACATTTATTTGTCCCGTGAGGTTTTCAAGGTGAGACTCACCGCTTCCTTAAGCAGCTGCTGGCTTAATTACATTAGGGCTAAGCGAAACCTCGCTGCGTGTTGAGAGCAGAGCACGGGTCTGGCTTTCGTTAGTACGAAGTTAATTTAAACCGATGGAGGCAGCAAGTGCGCTGTGACAGCCCAGATCTCCCCAAGAAACCGCCCGGGGGCAGGATCCTGGAAGCCCAGACCCGACATTGTTTCTTCCTGTTGTGTTTTACAGATCCGCGCCTACGTGAACAAATTCAGCAAGGCAGAGGGCGACCACAACTGGGACCTCCTAGCCCTGAGATTTCTCTCGATCAATTCCATCGTCGACCCGTGGGTCTTTGCCATCCTGAGGCCGCCGGTCCTGCGGCTCATGCGCTCGGTGCTGTGCTGCCAGGTGACCCCCACAAGCCAGGACAGACGGACTCCGTCCCCCGCAAAGACAAAACTGGCAGCACGGCTGGACCCCTGTGGGCAGTAGATCCATCGGCCGCTCCAGGAGACATCTGTGAGGTGAAGCACAGCCCTGACAGATGTTAGCAAAGCTCTGCCTTATGGCCCGTAAAGAGATGTATCTGCTGCGGGGTGGGCCAGGTACGGGTGGCCTGGCCAAGTGTCACCACGTGTCTGGGAAGCCCTTGGAAAGCCAGCACGGTCTCTCACAGGGCAAAAAATATAGTGGGACGAGGTCGGAAGGGCTGATGAGTACCTGGATATTGCTGTCGCCCTTAGACGGGGCTGCTCCCGCCCGGTGAAGGGTGCAGGGTGCATTCGGCCATGCTGTGGGAGGGTCGGGGGGGGTGAAGTGTGGGGGGTTTTGCTATAACACTACTTCTAGGGGGTGGGGGGTGTCGGGGAGCAGAGCCCGTGTGGCTCCCAGCAAGGTCCCCGCGGCCGTTTGGGGCTGTGTGCAGGCAGGGGTACGGGGCCTGGAGATGGGACTGGGCAGCCACCATGGCTGCATGCACCCCTCTCTGCCCCCCAGTCCCTAGGGATCAGGTAGCAGAGGAAGGCAGCAGTGTATCCCCAAATATTCCCCTTTATTTGATAGGCTGGTTGCCTAAGGCAATGCACTTTATCAGGTCTGTGTGCCTGCATCTGTCTTGTCTGTCCCCCACTCCAGAGATTTTAGGCTCCGGTGGGTGCTAGCCAAGCATGTCTGAGGGGCACCGCGGTAGAAAAAAAGCCAAATTGTGACCCTTTCCTTATGCTGTGATGGCAGCAGAGCTGTGTGGCCCCTCCCGAGGACCCATTTTGCAATTTTCTTTGTCCCGTAGTTTGTGCAGGAGCTGACAAGGGGAATAAAGAGCCCGGCCAGGGAACGAGAGGTTTCAGTCACAGCCATGCGCTTTACCCACGTCCAGGGTGATGCTGCTGATGGGTTTTGGGTTGGCACAGAGGAGGGCTCCTCCTCCTGGGCTGCCTGGCAAAATGCCCTCAATTTCCCTCTCTCTGGCTTGGGACAAACCTGCTCGGGGGCATCACTTCTTTAGAGGTTTTTGTTTGAAAACAAATAACCCCCCAAAACCCAACAAAAGCAAAAAAAAAAAAAAAACAAGTGCAGAAACATCCAGGTCATCAATCCTCCCCCCGTCAGGCAGCATCCTTCAGCGAAGCTGTTTTGGTTTGTGGGATGCCTGTTGCTCTTTGAGGTTTGGGGCTGGTCCCCAATGGGGTAAGGAGCATCCGACCCTGCGGTGAGATGGGTTTTTCCCGAGGCCATTGCTGCTGTCAGGGGCTGCTGGAGGGGGTGGTGGCCCCCATTTGTGCAGCATCCAACACCCACAGTGTCCTTGTGCTATTGCAAGCGGGGCACCTCGTTGTCCATTTGAGAGCTGCAGCTCTGCACAGAAAGCCCCAAGGTGCTGAGATTTGGAGCTTTTCTGCGGTTCATTATTTGAGGTGATGTAAAAAAAAAAAAAAAGAAAAAAAAAGAAAAAACCCCGTAATTATTTAAATAATAATAATAAATGTCTCTCAAAGGAGCCTGCTGAATCACGTGTGGGTTTGTGCTTCAGACGCACCTCAGGGTAGATCTGGCTTCTGGAGGAAACATGTTACATGCCTGGAGCTTTGGTGGGATGAATCCTCAGGGATGGGGGGAGAGGGAAGGAGGGGAGGCTGGGAGGGGAAACATGTGCCTCCAGTTTTCTAAAAAAGACAAAATAAACCATGTTTTATAGATGCACGATGACATTTTTGCCTTACCTCTGCAACCTGGCACCCAAGCTACAGAAATAGCCCCACCTCTGATCTATTCCCTAAAAATTCTCTATCCTGAAGCTAGGGAGAGGCAGGCAAAGTTCCTACCTGTTATCAAAATACCCCCAAAAATAAAAACCGACCCTAAAAAAAGGCAGAATTTATGTCACTTTTGTCAGGCAGCCAATATCCACAGGAAGTTTACTGGCCTCCGAAATGTGCGTGGGCAGATGTCAGGCATGGGCTGCTATTGCTCAAGCTCTGCCGGCGAGTTTCTGGCAGCGCCCTGTGGCCGGGGGGCTTTGAGGGGGGGTGGAATTTCGGGGGGAGGGTTGCAAGATGTGCCCCGTACACGGGGCTGCAGCTGGGGCCTTCGCCGCACCGTCACATGTAATTGAGTCGTTAACCCCATCGCTGAGCCCTGGGTGTCTGGATTTGGCAGGCTCCCACCCGCTGCTCGGTCACCCCCTCCCCAAACATTTCCCCATCTGTGCAGGCAGCAGTGGCAAAGGCACTTTCTGGGTTCAAGGCTCAGTGCACCCCATCGTATCTCAGCGGGTGCTCGGCTTGAAAAGGAGCCAAAAGCTTTGGGAAGAGCCGGGGGTCCGTGACCTGGCTGCTCACGCTGGAATTTTGGGACCGGTTGCCGAATCTTCATCTAAGCCAGAGGGAAAGGCTGCCTGGTGTGCATAAGGTGGAAAGAAAATTAAAAAAAAAAAAAAAAAAAAACAAATCTATCATATTGGAAATGGCAGCGTCCCATGACAGGGGACAACCCGAAGGTGGGATGCTCCCCGTGGCTCTTACTCCGAGGCTCTGCTCCCACTGGCCACCAGCTCGGCTGCTGACCACTAATTGCTGGCTGCTTGTTTTTTTGGGAGGTTTATGGCTCCTCATCAGGAAATGCAGGGCTGGGAGACAACCTCCCAGCAGCCATCCCCTTGGGATCTGCTTTTCGCAGGGTAATGCTAGAGCACTGCAGCTACCTCGGAGCCCACTGGCCATGGGTTACCCCCATTCGCTCCTGCCCCCTGAGCCCAGAAAACAACAACAAAAAAAGCATTCAGTCCTCCTGCTCCTTCTTTCTGATGAGAAAGGGGATTAACTAGAGCTCTGGGAGGACAGGGAGTGCCATGAATCTCTCTATCCTGAGCCATGAGCCTGCACAAAACACTGCTTTTATTAGCATCGCTCAGGAGCCATTACAAAAGCCAAATTAATTTGACTTTCTTCAGCTCAACTGACGTCTGCTCAGCTTAAATGCAAGATGCTAAAGTGTCATTTTGTTGTCTGTGCCAACCCTTAATGACTTTTTATTTCCATACCGGAAACTCACTGATGCAAGAAAGCGCCAGGCAGGTCTTTACGGCTGATGAAGAGAAGCGAGGGAGAAGCCACCCCTTGGGGACAAGGGATGGCATCAGCTGCCCACCAGGCCTCTTAAAAATGGAGAGGGACTTTCTGCAGGCGATGGAGCAGCCCAGGGGTGGCTCCGAGTTGTGCCTCATGGCAGTGGGGAGGCCAGCCTCTCCTTCTGAGCTGTGTCCCTTAAAAAGAAAAACATGAAGGGTACAGACAGCAGGGAATGGTTTGGGTGGGAAGTGATGGTGATGCAGTGCAGCATTCTGGGGAAAACAGGCTTTTTTGGGGAAAACAGGCTTTTTTGGAGAGTAGAGAAGAGCCTCTCTTGCTCCTTTTCTGGCTTGTTCTGGAACATCTCTGCATCTGTTTGCTGTCAGCAAGGAGTAAACCCTAATTTTTCAGCTGTTTCGGCCTCCTGGCTGAGCCCGAGTGCTTCAGCCACGGCTCTACCGGGGGCCACAAAACCCCAACTGCCCTGTTCATGGGGGTCAGCAAACGTGAGCAACATTTGGGGACAGCCCGCAAAGGTGGGTGATGTGATGTGCCTGCGTGCCGTGCCGTGTCCGAGCCCAGCATCCCTGCCGAGCACCTCTGGGATTGCTGGTCTGGTTCTTTGGGAGACTGGGAGGAAAGCAGAGCCTCGGGAAGAAGGGGGGAGAGCCCGGGGGGAGGCAGCTGCCCCACCAAGGCGGCTGCATTTCCAGGCAGAGGATGGGCAGGGAGCCCATCTCCCCGGGCTCCAGGAGGGCGTGCGGCGCGATAGCTATTAAAGCGGATTAAATGAATTAGGCGAGGAAGTGACTTAAGAGAAGATGTCACAGCCGGGCGCCTAAACCAGCTTTGCAGCCGTGCCAGGGCTTACCCCGGCATCAGATGTCAGAGCTGATGGCAAATCCCCGCGGCTCAAGTGCAGGGAGAAGGGAAACATTTGGCTTTACCGTAGCTGCCTTTTGCTTTTGCAGCTGGCTTTGGATCTCTGTATCCCCAAGTATTAATGTGAAACCTTTCCAGATCCTCTGGGCCCTTTGGGTGACCCTACGTCTCCCATTTTCCTGGATTCACCAGGTCCCTTTTTGGTCGTTGGGGGCTAACGCCAAGCACTGCCCTCCTCCAGCATTCCCAGAGGGCAGAGCTTGCAGTGTAAATCAGGCTGTATTTTACCTTATAGCCCACTAATCAAGTATCAAACCCTTTCCAGTAAGGCTGTTGGGGTACCTCAAACATCACAGGTTTAAAATCAGACCCTGCTGCCCCTCACCAAGACCCAGAATGAGTAATGCGTGGCCTGTCCCCTGACATTATGAGGGGTTATGAGACCTTGGAAGCAGCAGGGCTGTCGCAGAATTACCTCTCTGCAGCCAAATTTTCAAGCTTTTTTTGCAATGTAAGGATAATAACATTTTTTTTTCATTCTGGCTTTTTGGTTTAGTGTTGCAGGGGAGTGAAGGTCTCGTCTGAGTTTCCCCCCAGGCTGGCTGAATTGCTGGTGTTTTGGCTTCTGGGGGGAACTTTCTGGTTGCTGGCATGCCGCCAGGGCTCTGTCCCTCCCCGGTACCTGGCTGTGGCTTCAGGATCTGATGCATAAGGGAGGAATGTGGGACGGAGGTGCAACCTCCCTGCTGCCAACAGCTCCCGTGGGCTCATTTCTGCCCGCAGCCAGAGCCAGGTGTACTGGGAAGGTGAGCTGGAGGATGCCGCGGATGGTGCCGGGCCCTGGGATGGCGAGGGCAATCGTGCATCCCCGCTGGCCCCCAAGCCATCTTCTAGCCAAAAAGCACACGCAGGGGAAGGGCCGGAGGAAGCAAGGTCCTCCCCCTCCGGCTGAGCGACGTGCCGCTGCAGGAAAACCAACCAAAGGGACAACCGACGGGCTGGGAAAAATCCGAGCAGAGCTGCGAGATGATCTATGATTGAAAACACAAGGAGGGAAAGTTTTACAAACCCAGCTGGGATGCGAAGCTAAAAATACAGCTGCTGCAGCTTGGCGAGGGGATGAGCCATCCCAGGCCACTGCTCGCTTGTTTGCTGCGGTGATGTGCACGCATGGCAGGCCAGGTGCTGGCCCCTGGAGAAAGTCCTCTCCCTTGAAAGCATCCTGATGAGGCATACGATAAGATATATTCTCACTTTCTGCTCTTTATACAGCTGAAGGGAGACGCATCACCTTCTTCTGAGTGGGGTGGCGAGCGCCGGTCCATGTTTCCCTGATGCTCGTG